AAGAAAGAGAAGAAAGAGAGAGAGAAAGAAGGAAGGAAGGAGAGAGAGAAAGGGGCGAGAAAGAGAAAAAGGGGGAGAGAAAGAAAAAGAAGGAAAGAAAGAGAAAGAAAAAGAAGAAAGAAAGAAAGATAGAGAGAGGAAGAGAAGAGAAGAGAAGAGAAGAGAAGAGAAGAGAAGAGAAGAGAAGAGAAGAGAAGAGAAGAGAAAAGGAAGGAATCAACCTATTGGCAAAAGAAAAGCTAAGGTATGTAGCCTGATGTGAAAAAGATCTCTAGCCAGACACAGTGGCTCACACCTGTAATTCCAGCCCTTTGGGAGGCTGAGGTGGGAGGCTTGCTTGAGATCAGCCTGGACAATATAGTGAAACCCCAACTCTAGTAAAAATTTAAAAAATTAGGCATGGTGGTGCACATGTGTAGTTCCAGATACTCTAGAGGCTGAGACCATGGAATTGCTTAAGCCTGGGAGCTTGCAGCTGCAATAAGCCATGATCATGTGACTGCACTCCAGCCTGGGCAGCACAGTAAGACTCTGTTTCAAAAAAAAAGAATTCCTCAAAGACTTTGTAACCATAATGATCATTTTTGGTTTGGGTTAAACAGAAATAATAATACATAAATTTTTAAAAAATGATTAAAAAAAAAAGAAAAAAGAGTTTGTAACGAAAGATGAGCGATTGGGGTGTTGGGTTTTGAATTTTACCATTTTGGGGTTCAATTTGAATTTACTACCTTTGTAGCTGGATTTTACATGTATTAATGAGCAAAGAGGTTCCAAACTGGTAATAACTCTAGGACATTTGGCAGAAATAAATATCATTCTCTCTAAAAAGACACAGATACATTCAAGCCAGGCCTTACATATTACCCACAGACTAAGCCCTCTAAAAATAAGCTCCCAATCAAAAACTGCAATAACACAAGAAGAAACTCCAGTAAGACTCAAAAAAAAAACCTTTAAAGTGATAAAAACATAAAGGGAAAAATAAAACTCTTGAGACCAATGTTGTCAAAAAAGGACTGGGAAGACTTGTAAAAGAACCAAATAATATTCATGAAAATTAAAAATATAATTATTGAAATTTAAAATTCATTGGGTGAGTTAAAGAGCTGACACAACTTAGCTGAGAAGAGAATCAACAAATGAATATGTACCTGAAGAAATTACATGGGTCATTTATGTGGTACTTGAGCAGGGAATTTGAATTCCTGAGCTCCTTCTTTTCTTTCAATACTTTGTTCAGTGACATTAGGAAGCAACAAGCCAACCTAATTATATTCATTTGATTTCCAGAAATGTTTGAGAGTATCATATGCACAATTATCAGCTCCTTGCTTCTTACACGTGGTTGATCGGGAACATCCAATTGAGATATTTGGCATATCTCTATTGCCAGATCACACCATGAAACATCAGTGCTCTTTTTAGCACTGAAAAAAGAGTCATTTGCATCTTTAAATCTAATCACATTAGAAAGCCAATTCTAGAAACCCAAGAACCAATTCTAAAAACTCATCCTTAAAATTCTTTTCCTATAGAACCACTCTTGGTACCAAAATCTGTATTAGTCTGGGTTCTCCAGAGAAAAAGAACCAATAAGATATGTGTAACTATCTATCTATCCAACCATCTATCTATTCATCCATCCATCCATCCATCCATCTAACCATCCATCCATCCATCCATTAGATATATATTGAGAGACAAAGATAATTACTTTAAGGAACTGGTTCATGCAATAATAAAAGCCAAGTAGTCCAAGACCTGTTGGCAAACTGGAGACCCCAGAGAGCTGGTGGTATAGTTCCAGTGCAAATCTGAGTCCAGAGGCAAGAGAAAATTGATGTCCAGATCAAAGGCAGTTAATTCATTCTTAGGGCTTATATGACATTTTATTTATTACAACTACTTAATTTTTTTTTCAATGCTGTACTTTCAATAAGAAGGGAAAAATAATTGTATGCAGACAGAAAGGGGATTTATATTTGTTGTGCATTTCTGTGTGCTAGGCATTTTATTTTAACTCTTAGAAGAACCCTGCTATTTGCCAGTTATTATCTTAATTTAAAGATGGGGGAATCTAGCTGCATACCATTTTCTAGTTCTATCTGGGTTATGGTTGCTGCATTAAATACAGGATGGCCAATTAAATTTTTATTTCTGATGAAGAACAAATAAATTTTTTGTATTAGTATTTGCCACATATTACACAGGACATACACTAAAAATAACCACTATTTTTATCTTAAATTCAAATTTGACATACTTACACTAAAAATAACCACTATGTTTATCTTAAATTAAAATTTAACTGGGCATCCTTTATTATTATTTGCTAATTCCACCAACCCTATCCTTGATTGGGTCCTGCATTGCCTTGTGCTGGTCCTCTCTCTCCTTTATTCCTGAAGATAGACCTTCACTCCTGACACCTGATCATCCAGTCTCTGATCATCTGCCTGTCACTAGGATCACCATGTGTTGACAGCTCCATACACACACCATGTGTTCTACCTACCTGCAGGATTCCCACCAGGTTAGAATTCTTTCATGCTCACCATCTGGCCGGGATGCATCTGGTGGGACACCTGGACTATAGTCAAATTCTCTGGAGACCACGCCCTAGCACATCCAGCTATGTGACAGTCTGTACTTCACACTATCCAGAACCCACACCATCCTGGTGGCTATGCTCCTGAGTGAGCTTTCAACCAGCAAACAAACCACTCCACATTCCATACAACATAAGCTATTGTGGGGAGGTACAACTGTGGATAAATAACTAACCAACAACCCATAAAGGCATGTTACAACTCAGGGGAAGCAGGAAGATACCCATAAAAGGAGAGTAGATGGAATTTGTGTTCAACAGTTTTTCTACATGGATAAGGCTATATTCATGTTTATGAAATCAGTGAATTCCAGAAAGCTGGAAGACATAGCTGACTTATGGAATATTGGAATCAGAACCAAAATCAACAAGATGAAATTGAACAGGAATAACAAAAACTGTTATGCTAAGGTTAAGATTAGTAGTGACATAACACAGAACATCCCGTCAGCAGTTCAGATAAAGACCTCAGAGTTTTGGTTCAACACAAGCTCAAGGATGGGCATTATCATGTACTAAGGGAAAAAACAACACCTAAATTCTAATAAATTCGATCTCAAATGCTAATTTCACCACTAAATTGCTATGACCCACAC